CAGATACACTGCTGATCAGTGCGGCAGAACATCTTCATCACCTCGTCGTGACGAGAGCAGATGTTCTCCTGGAGCTTCATGGAGGGCTCCACCAGCTTGTGTTTTTTTAATTGAGCTACGTCATAATGACGCTGGAGGTGTTTGTCACAATAAGAGGCCAGACACTGCAGACAGGACTTACAGGCTCTCAGTTTTCTCCCAGTGCAGACATCACAGGCCACGTCTTCAGCTCCAGCATAGCAGTGATCAGCAGGAGCAGCTTGGAGTCCAGTCTTCTTCAGCTCCTCCACTAAAGCTGCTAACATGGTGTTTTTCAGCAGGACAGGCCTCGGTGTGAAGCTCTGCCTACACTGAGGGCAGCTGTGGATCTTCTTCTTATCCTCTTTATCCCAGTGGGCTTTAATACACTTCATGCAGTAGCTGTGTCCACAGGGAGTCGCCACCGGATCCTTCAGTAGATCCAGACAGATTGAACAAGAGAAGGTTTCCCGGTCCAGCTGAACTCCTTTCTGCGCCATTTCACCTCTCAGCAGCAGCGAGTGTCTGAGTTTCACTTCCTGAAACCTGAAACTATGTGAGCTGTGATCTGAACAGCATGTGTGTGTGCAGTGAATGTGGCCTATCAGCTCTTGTTCTTTACCCACATGTTGGTTACACCCATCCTCCTCAGTGTGGATCTAAAGGGGAGGAGCCAGGAAATACAGGGTGGACCTGGCTGTGTCTCAGAGCAGGAAGAAGAGGGAGGGCTTATCAAACTCTGACTCATTCCAGGAGGAGGAGCAGCGCTGACACTCTGGTTGCGTTCGAATACTCCAAAAAAACAGCTCCTAAGTTCTAACCCTATCGTCTATTCCTTGACCTCGGAGTGAAACGTCATGGGGTTAAGGGATAGTGGATAGGAGAATTCAAAAGGATTTAGGAGAAGAGACTGCGGCACTTTAGAGAATCCGACTGCACTTTCACTATCCGACGTGTTTATGATGCGCCAGCAGAGGTCATAAATGTGCGCCTGCTGCTGTGGGGAAACTATGGAAACTACAGTTTTCTATACAGCGGACTACAACATGGATGTTTAATAAGAACGAGGGACTACTGTAAACTCATCTAGAGACTCTGCACCGTGCTCTGATGCTGTTGTTTTATGCTTTATGAACGGGGACAACAGAGAAACATATTCTTCATGACCAAAGTTGAAATTGAAATAAAAAAGGAAAGTGAAACTTATGCTCGTCACCCTCTCCCTCCGGTCCACATTAATACAAATGATCCCAATACATATGATTGTATGAAAAGATCTTAAAATCAATACAAATGTATTTATTATAAACGTTAGTCCTTAACATCTATCACTGTGTATATCACCATTCAAACATCTTTTAAAAGTTGAACAAACCCCACACAGCTCAGTAAAGACTGTGAAATGTTGACTTTATTTGATCATTTCAGTAAAAACTAACGTTCATATTTCTCTTTTTGATTATAATACTGATGAACGTTCAAAACAAAGCACTTTGGCAACTTACCACATACGTTTTAAAAATGCTTAATAAGCACCGTAACTTTCATGATATCATTTCTCGTTCATAATCGGTTGTTTCCGTGAACGGCCGACTGTTGTGTGACAGCAAATGCTGCGGCCGCAAGGCATTGTGGGGCAGCATTTTCTCCTCTCCTTTCGGTTAGGGAGGTCCAGTGGTTCCTAGGCTAAAGGAGGTTATAAAGGAAGTTTGAAACCTCCTTTCCTTTTAATTTAGAGAATTCGAACGGCACTTATCATGGCTGCCACTGAGGGACTTCCGGGTCATTTCACTCCGTTAGGAAGGTTCCTAAGCTAAATGGACTATTCGAATGCAACCTCTGAACTGTTTCCTCATTCACAAACGGAGCCTCGCTTACAACCTGCTCTACATTTGAAGACAGCTTTTAGTTGTAAAATAAGTGGGTAAACTTACAAATTCTGCAGGGGATCAAATACTTATTTCCTCTACTGTAAATGTATAGCCTGAATGTCCTGAAATAGCTGATTGATTTAATAGTTTAATGTACAGTAAGTACATACAGTAGTTGTATTAGTAGTAGTAGTAGTTGGAGTAGTAGAACTAGAAAATGCATTTCCTGCTGAAAATGCGTGCAAATGCTGTAAACTGTGAACATTTGTGGCTGAAAATGCAGAAAAAGCTGAACATGTTATTAGCTGAATGGTAGCTGCTTTTAGCTACAGAGACCAAGTGAGTGAGTTGCTGAACTTAGCGGAGAAATGCAGAAAAGTGAAATGATTTGAATCAAATTGTTACAGCTCAAATGCATTGCAATGACTTTGTTGGAAACTTGAAAGTGAAATGTTAAACTGGACGTCAATAAATGGTTAGGGAGGCAAAGGCCTTTGGTGTGTGTGTGTGTGTGTGTGTGTGTGTGTGTGTGTGTGTGTGTGTGTGTGTGTGTGTGTGTGTGTGTGTGTGCGTGTGTGTGTGTGTGTGGTGTGTGTGTGTGTGTGTGTGTGTGGTAGAGATGTTCAGTGTGTGTGTGTGTGTGTGTGTGGTGTGTGTGTGTGTTTGTGTGTGTGTGTGTGTGTGTGTGTATGTGTGTGTGTGTGTGTGTGTGTGTGTGTGTGTGTGTGTGTGGTAGAGATGTTCTGTGTGTGTGGTAGAGATGTTCAGTGTGTGTGTGTGTGTGTGTGTGTGTGTGTGTTGGAGAGATGTTCAGTGTGTGTGTGTGTGTGTGTGTGTGTGTGTGTGTGGTGTGTGTGTGTGTGTGTGTGTGTGTGTGTGTGGTAAAGATGTTCAGTGTGTGTGTGTGTGTGTGTGTGTGTGTGTGTGTGTGTGTGTGAGTAGGAAAAATAGTGAAGAAGCTTAATATTGAAAAGAAAAGGTTTAAAAAAGGTATGAACAACATGTATTGCCTCAATGTCCTGAAATAGCTGAATAAGTTCATAGTTGAATGGTTTCTGCAGCTGAAAGTAGGCTGAAGGAGTTACATATCAGATGGACGTAGTAGTGTAAGTTCAAGTAGCATTACATCTATAGGGCTTTTCTTTTGAAGGGGTGTGTGGTTCTGGAGAGTGTGAGGTGGAGAAAAAGAAAATGAGATGTCTGACGTCAATAAATGGTTAGGGAGGCAAAGGCCTTTGGTGTGGTGTGTGTGTGTGTGTGTGTGTGTGTGTGTGTGTGTGTGTGTGTGTGTGTGTGTGTGTGTGTGTGTGTGTGTGTGTGTGTGTGTGTGTGTGTATGGTAGAGATGTTTAGTGTGTGTGTGTGTGTGTGTGTTGTGTTTGTGTGTGTGTGTGTGTCTGTGTGTGTGTGTGTGTGTGTGTGGTGTGTGTGTGTGTGTGTGTGTGTGTGTGTGTGTGTGTGTGTGTGTGTGTGTGTTGGAGAGATGTTCAGTGTGTGTGTGTGTGTGTGTGTGTGTGTGTGTGTGTGTGTGTGTGTGTGTGTGTTGGAGAGATGTTCAGTGTGTGTGTGTGTGTGTGTGTGTGTGTGTGTTTGTGTGTGTGTGTGTGTGTGTGTGTGTGTGTGTGTGTGTGTGTGTGTGTGTGTGTGCATGAGGGACGTTTCTGACAGTTGTCTGACATTACTGACAGATGAATACAACATAGAACAAAATGAATCTAATATATTGAATGGGAAGTCAGATATGAGATATTTAGTGTAATTGATCAAATATGAAGCCAAGATGTTACTGAGACTTTTGACCTACTGACTTAGGCGCCGTTTACACGAGGAGAAAACTGCTTGTATCTGCATAGTTTTGCGTGCGTATAGCCCTATTATTTACACGAGGCCGATAGAAACTGACCCCACAAACAATAACGGGTCCCAAGGTGGATAGATTTGCAAACGAAACGCTCTGGGGGGTCAACCGAGTCCGTGTAATCACCTCTATACGAATATTTCCTGAAAAAATAGCGATAGCCCCACCTTTCCCCACCTCTCCTGCTCACTGCTGTAGCAACTATCAAAAATAGCTGTGTTAATTAAACGCACAAGGGGTTCTTGAATGAAATAATATTATAAAAGGCAAACCAGAATTGTTAACGCCCAATATACTCCTTAAACAAAATAAACAGACTCAGATTTCATGCATTGATCCATTATATTGACAAAGGAGCGATCTCACCCGGTGTTTGTAGAGAATATCTCTCTTTCTGAGCCGTCCTCTCCACAAAGACGTGCATCTTGGTCGGTCGATGCAATATCCACAGATTCGGTTTCTTTCAGTTAACTTCCCCGTTGCATTTATCCATATGCTGAGGAAATTACTATATCCCGCTGAATACCAGCAATCGCCACACACACTTCCTCCTGTCAGTAGCTACTGCTAGTGCTACTGCTACTGACCATGCTACAGATATTAGTGCAACATCTACAGCTCCTCTACCACAACCATCAGCAACAAGTGGACATGGAGAATTACATGAACTACATGTTGCTAAATACACCGCGGGGCATAAACAGAAGGGTAGCCATGGCAACATTGCTGCGGGGCTGCCCGGGCTGCTCTTCTTCGCTGCTTTTGGTGTATTTTGGCGGACATTACAGCGCCACTTACAGTCCCGGCATATGTACTACAGCGTTTCCAGCGGCCTCGTTTGAACAGACACGTTAAATGAAACGAATGCATGTGAACGGAAGACTTTTTTGAATACGCATACTGTGCATAAACGCAAACGTTCCCATGTGAAGGAGGCCTTACACTGTAGTCGCATTGTAATCTTGTATGTCAATTATACAAACTAAAACATATCTATAAACTTCTGCTTTCTAAATCAATCGTGAAAGTAGAAGTTGTAAAGGTTTGACCTATAATGTATGTTGTGTCTTGTCCCTTATGGTTTATTTGTTTTAAATTGTGAGCTATAAAGGATTAAATACAGGAGAAGCATGCAGATATTTGAACACGCATGATCATCAGACAAGTCACCTTCTTGATCCTCACACTGACTTACATAGAGCTTATGTAACGCAGATGTAAATGTTTGCATAAGTAAAAGAAACAACACATATCTCCTTTGGAAATATCTCTTATCAGAGGTCTTTATTCCAGTTTGGTAAAGCCAACAGTTACTCTCCAAAGTTACATTCAAACAATCTTTCATTTACCTGAACCTCAGGTAAACCTCCACATCCCCAGTTCAGAACTTTATTCCTCTGTTGGTCACACAACGATCACAACAATAGTGATTTCTCCCTCTTATCATATTCTTTAACATTCCAAACATACATATTTATATTCACTATTTGTACAATATATTGTCATTGAGTCCATTCATTCATCCACCCCCCCCTCGTCCACATGCACACACATAAACACTGTTCAGATGTATCAATGGAGTCATGGTTCAAAGACGGTTGGCCTTAACATTTCATATCCATGAGTCAAGGAAAGACACAGCTGAGTACCATTTGTTTGTTGTTCAAGTTCTGGCTGCTGCAAGGTGATTTGTTCATAAAGCCAAATGGAGAAGGTGGCGTGCAGATATATTACAGAGTGGAAACCTCTCGTGTGTTCAGAGGACCCTGGTCCAGTATTTCAGGAATACAGGAAGAAGAACAAAGAAAGAGATGGAAAGAGGCAGAAGGGGAACGTTTAAAGGAATGACCATTTTCCAAAAAGACAATTATTCACCACGTTATCTTGAATTCTTCATTAAGAGCTTACTATTTAAAGCACTTCCACATGACTAGTCTCACGGAGGGTCAAATGATGCTCAAATGTGAAACTTTGATGTCTTTTATAATGTAAGGTTTTATAAATAAATGGAATTACTAGCATGTGACAGGATAATTGAGCTTTACTACACAAAATGTGAGAGCTTTTAAATAAAGGGTTTAAAATACGTCCCAATTTACGTCAATTCATCAAACTGTTTTTTGAATTCTTCCTACCGTAGAGGGATACAAGAAAAACGACATCTTCTTCAAAAACGTAAGAAAACACGGGTCGAGTAATTTGATATACAAGTGGTCATTTTGATGGTGAAGCATTCCTGCTGAAATAAAAGGAAAGACAAAGGGAGAACTGTACGGAAAGGGCAGTAAATGTTCATATCATTCCTAAATAAAAGCGTTCCATATCATCCCTTCTTCTCCACGTTGCTTCTCTTAGTGTCTAAACGTCTAAAGCCAAGCACAGCAGTTAGGTTTCTTCTCTTGGTTCCCCAGTGTGGTTCTTACAGGAGTGGTGACAGGTTATACAATACAGTCCAGCCTCCAACCTCCAATACTGACGCCTCCTTCTTACTTCGAGCCAACTGATGCTTTGGTCTCTGTGCAGTAGACGAGGCGTTCATGGCCCTGTATTAGGAATCCAGTGTCGGGACATTTGGACGTCAACTATTGCAGTAAAGTGGCACAAGCGCAGCTGCAGGAGAAAATGAGATAGTGAAAAGTGCAAACCTGTTTCTTGGTCGCTAGTTAGATACATCTATGGTTTGGTTTATGACACATTTGCGTAGCTTTGGTCCGGAGGTTGTACGAGAGGAGAAAGCCATTGACTACAATTTGAGATGAAGAGAAGCTGAGTCGAGCCGATCCGAGCCAGGCTGTGTTCGGCAGGGCCACGCTGGGTTAGGAAGAGCTCTGCGTTGGGAGAGTGAGAGAGAAAAACAAGAGGCTCGTCCTCCAGCGTCTCTCTCTACCTGCCGAAAATGTTCTCGTACTCCAGCAGTATGAGCTCCACGATCTGGTTCTGGTACACCATGTAGACCGCGATGTTCCACGTCTCCTGTTCGGGGCGCAGCAGCGTGGGGCCGTACACAATGGCCACGCTCTGAGTGGTCATACGGTTCTCCTCGCTGTACTCGATCACCCTGGAGAGGAGACATCATTTGGAAATGAAAATAAATCCTGACATAAGATAAGACTTTATTTATCCTGAAGGAAATTGTTGTGCCAGAGTTACAAAAATACAATAAACACAGCAGCATAATAACAAAACGTTACACTAACAGTGCAGTAAAACGAGCGAATCAAATATCTACAGGAAACATAGACGGTCACATAATGAAGTAAATATTAACAGTATTGAGTAGTGCAAAAAACGTGGTGGCAGATACGTAATAAACACAGAATTCTCTCAGAAATACTGTTTACAATCTGCTCCGTAATGCTGCAGTATTTTTATAATCAGATATGTATGATGGTTTATTTAGGCCGTTGTAGGTGAAATATACAAACCTGGGCAGGGGAGTAACGAGTAAAAAACTCTGAATTTCTTAGACGTATTTATACATTCATTCGTGATTTATTTTGTCATTTTCTGAAAATATAGGTGTACATTTATAGAATGAGAAAAAGCCTACAAATATGGAGGAAAAACTCAATATTCTTTCATTATTATCAACTCATGAATCCGCTATACTAGTATTACAGAGTCTCGATCGTATGCCTCAACTAAATTCGTCCAAATTGTCATCAGCCTATCTAATCCTATTTGTGAAATTGTCCTAATTAGCAGTTAGCTTTCATCGCACATTTCTGATCAGTTCATCTTTAAGTCACAGTCCACATTTGTGCCAGATCTGAAAAGGTTCCCTCTATGCATTCCTTGAAATATGTTCAGGAGAACGAGGCGGACAGACAGACAGATGTTTGGAAGTTATTTCTGACGGACAACTCAAAAATATTATGCCTCAGGCCGCAGATGTCGCCAGAGAAAGGCAAACAAAGTGTGATTTGATTTGTCGGCATTATACACAGCAAGCAAATGAAAAGGAAAAACAAATGATACAGCAGTAAGAGAGTGTTGTTCTCACTTCCTGAGGTGCTTGAAGAGAGTCTGCATGGTGTCGTGGTTGCAGACGGGCAGCTGTCGGACCAGATCTTTGATGGACTGAACCCGCTGCTTGTAGTCTGGACTCTCTGCACAACAGAAAACACAACATTTATCAAAGTGAATCATCTGGATTCATCAAAGAGTCTCATGCCTCCTTCTGTTGTTTCACTGACTACTTCCACATCCACATCATATGCAGATTGTTTTACTTAATCCCAATAAAAGACAATATGAGTACTACGCTGTTTACAAAGAGGCTAACGGGTACTGTTTCACAGTTTTTCTGGCTCTCCAAAATCCAGGTTCTTTCCGGGCCAACAACCGGGCTGAATATGCTGAACTAGAGAGAGAATCGCTGGCAATGGGGCTACAACTACAACAAAATGAACATATTTTACCGTGATTTAATAGTAATACACGTTTCAAAATGATGCCGAAGTAACAACATACTGATACCCAGGGGCGTCGCCTGGACCTGAAAACATTCGGGGCTTAGCCCACAGTGGCGGCGGCACTAGTGGCATTTTTTACTGCAACACTCCCCACACGCACACACACAGTACACCCGCGACTGTTACAATGAAGGCTCGATAATCAGCTCACGGCATATAGGCAGGGGTAAAGTGGTATTTTTTATGAGTGGGGGGCTCACCTCCTCTAGGGGGGTCCGGGGGGAAGCTCCCCCGGGAAGATTTTTTTTTTAAATATTGAAGTTAAAAGCATCAATCTGGTGCACTTTGAGAGCAAAATGAAGAGATCTATGGATACCTCTCTCAGCACCCATATGAAGCAGAACTGTAAACAGATGTACTTTTTCTTTATGGATATTTTACTAATCACTCCCCTTTTAAACTCTATTCTTGTTTTACTGCCATATAGTATTTCATAACTGTTTTTCCTTTATTCTCTTATTTTTTGTATAACTATAATGATCATATGAAGGTGTGCCGCGGAAATAATCTTTTGAATAATTTGTGACCAAACCGTTTGAGACCCACTGAGATAACTTAGACTAAAGTTAAGTATCTAAACACTCAGAGAGTCCTTTAGCTCACCTGAGTCTCTCAGTCTGAGAGGAGAGGACTCTCCTCCAGCTTCTTGTGGAACAAACAGCTCCTTATGTCCGTTAGTGCAGCTAGCTAACCAGATGCTAACAACACTCCCTGCTGGCAGCGGTCCCTCCCTCCCCCTCTCTCCCTCTCTTTCTCTCTATCACACTAAATGCGCTATTGCCACACACACACAGAGCCGAGCTTGAATGACACAAGCACACGTTTATTTCCATGCAACTCTCTGATTGGTCTGGTGTCATGCCTCTGTTGCATTCACTGAACACGGGAAATTACAGTGCTGCCGTCCTCTCTTGTGTCATGATGAGGTTCACGTAAAGCACGGTTAATGTATTATATTATTGAGGGAGAATTGTCCGGGGCTACAGAAAAAACATTCGGGGCTAAAGCCCCGGATGCCCAGGCCAGGCGACGCCACTGCCCTCGAGTATTAATTGTCTAACCTGCCAATTTCCCAACAACAGACTGCAGAAATCAGTCATCTTTGTTGACACATTAAATGTAAAAGGGAACAATAAAATGTTCCATAATGGCTTTCCATAATTATTCATGCAAAAACACAAACTAGTTTAATCAAACTAGGGAATTTGCTGCAACAGTTTGTTATGATTTGAAACCTTTTAGCATTGTTTGCATATTGACAATTTAACAACACAACTTTTTCTTTTATGTTTGTTAACCAATTATTAAGTTACTCACTACTTCAACCAAAGAACAGTTGATGTTAAAATATCTTACAGTCCTCGGACTACATACAGAAATTACTGTCATCTTGTTGAAATGTGAATAATGTATCCTCATAAAGGTTGTATGATATCTTACAAAAAGTAATTCCTCATTGAATTACCACATATGCATACAGTCTTTTTAAAATAAGCACCCTTATTTAGAGCCCTGGTTTTAAAGTTTTAGACTGACATGGTGTCGTGTTCAAAAAGGCTTGTCTCTTTCTCAACACTGTTGACACCATAAAAGGTAATAGAGAACTATAAGTGTCATCAGTTCACTTCCTCTTTCACCGAGGCTGAAAATGGTCTCAGGACAAAGCAGAATTTGACTTGTATGTTGGAGAAATTAGTAAAAAAAGACCTTACTTATAACTTATCACTCAACTTTATATTACAATTAAGCAGTTTTGGATTCAGAAATCAAATAAGAACTACAATACTACCAATACTTGGTCAGTTATTTCTGTCAGTTCTTAAGTTAGTCAACTTCCTCTTAAAAAACAGGAAGTTTGTTTATGTTGATAATATAAATGTACAAAACAGCGGTGTTGTTACATAGATTTTCTTCTTCATATTTTAGTGTGACAATGTTACAAAATAGATTTGACTCGATGTTTGATGATGTAAAATATAATTAACATCAGATTTGGCTTGAAACACAATATCATCAGGTTGTCATATAAGAATGTGAAAAAAGGGTAATGAGAGTCAAAAAATAATTTTGTTATAAAAGCAAACTCACCAGTAACAGCAGTTAAAGCAGAATTTGACTTGTGTGGTTGATAAACCAGCCTACACCCTCGCACTCCGTGACGGAGGGAACTGTGTCTCAGTAACACTCGAAGCTGTATGAGGCGTCTTTTAAAATATGTACTGTTTAAATACAGCAGCTAACCCACCCACAAGACAGGAAGTGTGAAGCAACCAGAGAGTATGTTTTAGAGAACAGGAAGGGTGGTGTAAGTGTTCACACATCAAGATATTAACATACATTACACAGCAAGCTTAAAAACTCCACTTACATTAAAGTTGTGCTAAAACACGTATTTTTAAAGCAGGGCTTATTTTCTCAAAACACAATTCACAAAACCACACACAAAGTGCAAAACACCTCATTTACCCTGCAGAAGGGAGCACTGCACTCAAAACTACACTAACACTTACCAAAACCAAACTTTTGCATCTAATGGCACACTTCATTTAAAGTACCAGACTCTTTCTCCAACCAATTACACACTGTGGGGCTCAATCTAAAGCACACTCGTCTTTTATGGCGTATAAAGATTGTTGAAGTCTACAAAAATATGTAGAAACACAAATATACTGCTGTTATACTTTTGTATACTCCAAAACAAATTCAAACATTCATGCAGAACTCATAGTTACAGGTATGTCATCAACAAGGATGCCTTTGTCAAATACAGTAAATTGAAAACTTTGAGGAAAAATAAATACAACTAAATGTTTTTACAAAAAAGCACAGGAAAGGAAAATACTCTGTATTTTACCACCTAGCTGGGTCTGACCACAGCCCCTCATCCACCTGCAGAAGAAGCATCACCTGTAGGCCTCACGGTCATACAGCTCCAACCATTATACTGCAAATAACACCTGGAAAAACAACACCACCGCTCTAGCGAGGAAAGCCCAGCAGCGCCTGTACTTCATCCGGAAGCTCAAGCGAAGCTCAAGCGAGCCGGAGCATCACCCCCCATCATGCTGTCCTTCTACCGAGGCGCCACCGAGAGCATCCTCAGCAGCTGTATCACGCTGTGGTTCGGAAGCTGCACCGCCGCCGACCGCAAGAGCCTGCAGCGCATAGTGAACTCTGCCCAGAGGATCATCGGTGCCTCACTCCCATCACTAGAGGACATATACAACACCCGCCTCACCCGCAAAGCACTCAGCATTGTGGGTGACTCCACCCACCCCTTCAACAGCCTCTTCAGCCTCCTGCCTTCAGGAAGAAGGTTCCTCAGCCTCAGCTCGCGCACCTCCAGGCTGGGCAACAGCTTCCTCCACCAGGCGGTCAGGATGCTGAACTCTCTCCCCTCCCTCCCTCCCTCCCTCTCTCCCCCTCTCTGACATCTCTCCACTGAACTCTCCACCCTGCCTCCGACCTTTCTCCCCTGCCCCAAATGGTCCTGGACTCTAACCCCCTAACTCACTTTTCTGCCCATCTCCGCTGCTACTGCACTGAAACTGTACTTTGAACACTTCAATTATATTATTAACATTTTAAACTGTATACCCCGGTTATCTAGGCCGTTTGTTTTGTTTAATGTATACCATGTTTATCTAGGCCCTTTTTGTTTTTTGTTTGATGTATATATGTCACACTGTAGGACTGCGGGAAACGATATTTCGATATTTCTGGATGGACAACATGTAGAATTCTTGACAATAAAGCTGACTTTGACTTTGACTTTGAACTCTTCAACTGACTTCATTTCATCCTCCCTCTCTCCCTCATCCCTCTCTCTCATCCTCCCTCTCTCCCTCATCCCTCTCTCTCATCCTCCCTCTCTCTTATCCTCCCTCTCTCTCATCCTCCCTCTACCTCTCCCTCTTGCTGCTGTCCATATATCCATTGTTGTTGTTACAGTTTTTTTCAGTAGCTAACACACAAATTTCACATAAAGCATAATTATTTAAACTCACAGTCAAAAAGCAAAACCTCAACTCAAATCTCCAAAACTCTAAACACATGTTCAGCTCTGAACCCACTATGCAATTCAACTTGGCACTTTTTGTAGGACACAGTAAGACACAGAAATCTGACATATTCACTTGTTTGCCACTTTCAAAAAACTGCCATTAAAAATGCTACAAACATGAACCAATCAACAAATACTAGGGATGCTCCGATCGATCGGTCACCGATCGAGATCTGCCGATACTCACTCTCTACCGATCGATCGGTGCTCTCTAAACATGCCGATCGCGAGGGCCGATCGCATGACGTAAAATACATGACACTTTTCTCTGTACGCGGCAAAACAAGCTCGCCAAAATGGCTTCACCGGTCTGGCATTATTTTAAGGTGTCCGAAAAAGACAGTAAAATAGCGGTATGCAAAGTGTGTGTGAAGCAGAAATCCTGCAGCTCCACCCGCTGTGACGGACCGGTGAGCGGAGCGAAACACACAAGAGTTAGACCTAACACACTTAGCTATTTGATCTACCTCTGGAACAAGCTAAACTAGTTATAAATATGTTTATTCTTCACTGTCGGCCTCACACATTACTGGATCAGCGAGCTGCATGAGACGATACTGACGGGCTGTCAGGAGAGGGGGAGAGAGAGGGGGAGAGAGGGGGAGAGAGAGGGGGAGGGAGAGAGGGGGGAGAGAGAGGGAGAGAGAGAGGGAGAGAGCGCTTCCGCTCATTTCTCCCGTGGTATTATCCAAAGTTAATGTAAACTTGAATAATATACATAATTTGAATGTAATAATTAAGTTGATTGTTGTTTGTGGAAGCTCCAGTGAATGAGCCCCATTAACTGAGTTTTAAACATCACTTTAAATGGAAGATTTAAAGTGATGTTTAAATCTTCCATTTAGGCCCCGCCCACTCGATCGGATCGGCGATCGGTATCGGCCGATACTGATTCCGGCGATCGGCGATCGGCGATCGGCCCCAAAATTGGCGATCGGAGCATCCCTAACAAATACACATGCCTAATGACCATAAACACCAAACTGCTTTATTGTTGACTCATCAATAAGGATGTAAACACCAGAAAAAGGCTTCATGTAAGACATTTATAAAAACAACAATGAAAAACTTTGAGGAAACTGAAGTCAGTATAACAGTTGAAGCTGTTTGACCATCAGGCCTAAAGGGTGCATGTGTCGCCAGTGAGCCCTCCATGTAATGGCCCACTGGCTGGCACCCAGTTCTTTTAATCCCCCAATTAACCCACACACACGGGGAGCAGGCAGATATCAGGTAACACAATAATCTTTATTATAAGTTAAGTTCATGAACAGTAACACATAAGGGACCATGTCAGCCAAACTTCTCACAAGAAACTTCTCAAGTAATGCAGTGCCTTTAGACCACCCTGTCATTCAGGCTGTTACTGCTCTACCCCAGCCCCTGCTGGCCGGAGGGACTACCAATGGTGAACATAACAGCAAAGATCACATGACCAGGGGTGCACATAACTTTTTTGCCCTGGTTCTCAAAGGAGCACCTGGAGATGTTGCTTGGTGCGCATCCTTAAAATGAAATAAACAGACCTTTTGAGGGGTACTTGACTTTATGAACTGCTATCTTACAGTTCTTATGCAACTCGCAAATATCTCTCTCTCTCTCTCTCTTCTCTCTTTTCTATCTCTCTCTTCTCTCTTCTCGCTTCTCTCTTCTCTCTCATCTCTCAATGTTGTAGAGATGGGCGAGTCCTGATTCATCCGGATCATTAACCCGGATCCTAGAAATGAGCTGGTTGTGACGAGTCTCCCCTCTCCATTAACCCGAGTCCTTTGGGTCCCACACTTGGTGTGACGTACAAATTCAAACTATAAATTGTGTCACTCGCTACTCTCTTTTAGGGGTGTAACGGTTCACATAATTCACGGTTCGGTATGTACCTCGGTTTGGGGGTCACGGTTCGGTACGGGTTCGGTACAACAAGAAAAAGCGAAAAAAAAGTCCCACATGCATAATTCCAGGTTTGTTGTTATTTATTTTTGAACAGTAGTGCAAGTTTCAGTATAAAAATAAGGAATTCTAACATTTTGAATAATTAACTGTATAACACAGTGAAAAACAAACCACAAACAGTACCACACACACACAGATGGCCATATTATCTATAATGGCTGATCTCAAACAAGAAGGTTTCATCAAGCTGTAAAACTAAAAAGAATGTCTTGAAAATATTACAAAATAAATAATAAGAAAGTGTTTCAAGAGCGCATAGCCGTTGAAATATATATGCCAATAGCTTCCGTTATTTCTTTTGGTCTCTTGGCTTGCATGTCTATTGGCTTCTTAAAAACAGCGGGGATAAGCTGTTGAACTGCTGTTGTCTTTCGCCGGGCTCCGGTGATTGGCAAATCTGGGTGATGCCTTCTGATATGATTTAGCATGTTTGGCGTGTGTTAGCATACCGCACCGCTGTCGAACAACGCCGACACACCGTCCTCCCGATCCACCACTTGCACTCCATCGTTATTGTAGTCCACAGGGAACCCGAAATGTTCCCACACAGCTGATTTAAAAGAAGCAGGTGGGTCTTCTAGCTCCTGTGTGTTATCTGAAATCGCCATACTAACTTCTCTTCTTCTTGTATTTTGTTCGTTTTGTTGTGTTTTCTTCTTGTTCTTCATTTGTTGTTTAACCTGTTAAGCCCTGAGCCTGTTTTTCAGGTCTCAGGCTCGAAAATGACATTCCCAGAACAAATGACCATATCTTCCCTTCTAAAAGGGTTAAATTAATAATCTTTTTTCTCAAAGTAATGATAAACCTGTGAGTTGGATGTAGAAAAGTCAGAATCAATATAGATGTTTTTTATTTTAAAGAAAATTCAGATTTTACATAGTAAAAAACTGTAAATTATAGTGTCCGTCCAAAAATAATTTTTTACTTATAGTGAAAACCACCCTTGGATGATGGGTTAGTAGACTAAAAGCTTTAGGAATCCAAAGTACAACATATAATAAGTACCCTGTATCAAGATTGATGCAAAACAAGTGACATTTGACCTTTTTAGAGAGATTTAGCAAAAAGAAACCACTTCTGGGGTCATTTGGGTGGATTTTCCATATCTCTGGCCCCCCTTGCTCGATTTTGATGGTTGACACCTCTTTCTGACCGTTAGAGCCAATAGAATCGAAGGGGGAGTCCCCCACACACACACGTTTTGAAGAGAAGAGGTGGGGGCTTCGCGCATGTAATTTTGCATCAGAGTGGACCTATCTCTAGCTCTGACATCTGGAAACGGAAAAGCAGTTTTAATGCTTATGGATTATCAGAAATCATTTCAAAGGGACACAGACACATTAGATTAACCTATGGATTAACTTCAGCAGCGTTTTTATCGTTTTAATGCCATTGAAGACCACTTTGGAGAGACTACAGAGCCAAGGTAAAAATGTTAGCATTTTTAACTACCTAGCGTCACCTGTTTTGATGTCCGTTTTTGCTTATAACGTCGCAAATACGTATAATTCAGTGGTAATGTCGGTGTCGTTCTGTGTCACCTCACGATGTGAAACGATGTGTTGGATGTGGTGAAAAGATAAATAATAAGGTTTTGTGAGTGATTTTCGGTGCAGTAAGGTGTTAGCATTTTTAGCTCGTTGCTAATTCAGAGGCTCAGTGTTAGCATTGTGGGTTTTCTTTTGAAAAAAAAAAAAAAATGATCAGTTAGATGAGTTTCTTCCCGTTACATGGATATAAAACATTCATAGTTTTATTAAATGAACATGCCCTCAGACACTGTTTCCTGCAAGATGTTGCGGCAGTACCCCGGTCCCGGGGTCTCTCGGGCTTAACAGGTTAAGGGCGGCAGGCAAACCGCTTTTAGGCGCAATACCGCCCCCTGGATTATATATAGTGTAATGGATACTGCCCTGAGTGTCAGACTTTTTTCCCTTTATAAAAAAAAGGCGTATTCGTCGTGTGACTGCATGCGCCGAACCTTGACGTCCGAACCGTGACGGTTCGGGACGAATACGGATACCGTTACACCCCTACTCTCTTTATAACATGTAAAATCACATTACAACGTACCCCAGTCCATCTGCCTACCCTTTAGCAAGTAGGATAGCTGCCAGAAGTTATCGTTTGGCTCAGGGGAGGGGACGTGGATCAGTGAAACTTCCTGCAGACTCGTGGGGACTCAGAGGAGCTTCCCAGCAGCTTCTACTGAAGCCAGTCCCCAACTATGGCCGGGGAATTTGGGTGGCAGGATACGCCATGAAGTTGTTTGCGGCCTGCCAGTAAACCCAAAGCAGAAGAAGAAGAAGTGACGTCAGCGGGTTCATTTGCGTAATCTTCCCTCAGGGACTTATTCTGGTGTGAACGCGATCTGCTCTTTAGTTCCATGAACTAACTTTGCTTATCAGGTGACTTTCCTCCATACTTTTAGAATGTCTGAAATGAAATGGAATGTCTGAAATGAAATGGAATGTAGAATACTTTGAAATTGAATTTAGAATACTTTGAAATGGAATGTAGAATGTGTCGGTATAGACCAAAGCACATTCCGGAATGTTCGGCTCTGAAGTCTTACTGAACCTGATGATGTCATATCATATTGTCTGCAAGAGAGCATGCTCTCTGGTTAAATAGCTACACAACTTATTTGCAGTTTGTGCAGGACGATAACAAGCCAGGTTTTATCCCAGCCACATCGAGTTCACATTATCAGTAAGAAGCAGCTATTTCTTCACGATGAATAAGATGGACAGAGTAAGATCAGTTTTCAACAAGACGTTCAACAACTCTCGATGGCTCCGAAAGAATTGTCCATCTGAGGACAGTTCTGTTGAGGAGGAGATCGAGGAGGAAATTGAGGAGGAAATCCTGGAGGAAACCATGGCGGAGGTGCAGGAAACCATGGAGGAGGTGCAGGAAACCATGGAGGAGGGGCAGGAGTTTACAAACAAGGTGGAGGAGGAATTTGAGGAGGTTCAAGAGGATATTAAGGAGCAGACCTCCATCTCCAGCAACAGAGAAAACTACAGCGACACTTCCTTTGCTGAGGTAAGAATTCAATTCAGTGACACACATGTCTACACTTACACTCATGAAGACTGTAAAAAAGCTAATACTCAACGCTTTAGTTTCTTTACTAAAGTTTTTCAAAAAAATCAATCAAAATAGTAAATCATCTTTAATGCAATTGATCACAGCATACTTGTTCACACCCATTGATGCAGAGTTAACTCCACTTCTGTTTTCTTAATAAAAAACACTGCACATAGACGACACAATAATAATTGTTTTATGTTTCACAGACAGAGGACTCTGAAAGATCTGAGAGATATGACAAATCATCTGGCCTTCAGGAAGCCCTGGATGAGGAGAGAAAAGCCAAAGCAGAGGAGCAAACAAAAAGCAGCTCACTGCAGATGAACAACGAGGCTGCTGTCTCTCAGCAGAAGAAGGATGCAGAAGAACTGGCCCGTCTGACTCAGGGGAACCAACACCTCACCTATGAGAACAAAAGACTGCAAAGTGAACTGGAGGCTGCTGTCAATAAACAGTACATTGAAGAGAAGAAGCTTCAGAGCGACAGAAGAGCTTACAGCAGACTGGAGGAGAACCTTAACAAGGAGGAGGCTCGTTTCTCCAGAGCCTCACAGAAGATCCAGAGCCAAAAGAAAGAGCTGTCTAGGAAGACCCTGGCTTTGGAGGGACTGCAGAGGGACTACGAGGCTGCTGTCTCTCAGCAGAAGAAGGAAGCAGAAGAACTGGCCCGTCTGACTCAGGGAAACCAACACCTCGTCTATGAGAACAAAAGACTGCAAAGTGAACTGGAGGCTGCTGTCAATAAACAGCACATTGAGGAGAAGAAGCTTCAGGGCGACAGAAGAGCTTCCAGCAGACTGGAGGAGAACCTTAAGAAGGAGGAGGCTTGTTTCTCCAGAGCCTCAAAGAAGATCCAGAGCCAAGAGAAAGAGCTGTCTGAGAAGACCCTGGCTTCTGAGGGACTGCAGAGGGACTACGAGATTTTGGACTTTAGTGATGAGAAACAGTCCGAAATCAACGAGATTGCGAACTTTGATGATGAGAAACAGTCCGAAATCAACGAGATTGCGAACTTTGATGATGAGAAACAGTCCGAAATCAACGAGATTGCGAACTTTGATGATGAGAAACAGTCCGAAATCAACGAGATTGCGAAATTTGATGATGAGAAACAGTCCGAAATCAACGAGATTGCGAACTTTGATGGTAAGACAGAGTCAGAAATGGAAGAGATTTTGGACTTTAGTGATGAGAAACAGTCCGAAATCAACGAGATTGCGAACTTTGATGGTAAGACAGAGTCTGAAAACGAAGAGATTTTGGACTTTAGTGATGAGAAACAGTCCGAAATCAACGAGATTGCGAAATTTGATGATGAGAAACAGTCTGAAATCAACGAGATTGCGAACTTTGATGATGAGAAACAGTCTGAAATCAACGAGATTGCGAACTTTGATGATAAGACAGAGTCAGAAACCGAAGAGATTCTTGAGTATGTTGAGGAGGTGGAGGAAGAAATCAAAGAGGAGATTCAGGAGTTTGCTGAGGAGGTGGAGGAAGATATTAAGGAGCAGACCTCCATCTCCAGCAACAGAGAAAACTACAGCTGAGGTAAGAATTCAATTCAGTGGCACACATGTCTACAATTACACTCATGAAAACTGTAAAAAAGCTAATACTCCACTTCTGTTTTCTTAATAAAAAACACTGCACATAGACAACACAATAATACTTTTTTTATGTTTCACAGACAGAGGACTCTGAAAGATCTGAGACATCTGACAAATCATCTGAGAGACCTGATAAATCATCTTCGAGATCTGACAAATCATCTGCAAGATCTGAGAGATATGACAAATCATCTGGCCTTCAGGAAGCCCTGGATGAAGAGAAAAAATACGCTATTGCAAATGCTCTGAAGTATGAGCAAGATGAAAATAATTCCCTTTGTGATAGAATAAAGCTCATAAACGCTGCTCTGAAACAGTCACAAAAAGAGCCGCAGCGTGGCGAAACAAAGCTGAAAAACAGAATCACTATAATGACTTCTGAGCTTGAAGAAGACAAGAAGGTGATTGAGAAGCTCCAGATAGATCATCATGCATCCTCCAGCCAGCACCAAAGAGAAATCTCAGAGCTGATTGTGTTGAATACTGCCTCAGTTACAGCAATAAAGGACCGCCTCACTGAGTTGCAGGAGGAAAGTCAGAAAAAAGACAAAGACATTGAATCCCTGCACTCAAATGTCCTGAATCTCCAAAGCGACATTGTAGCCAAGGTCAGCATTGTTACCTCACTACAGGAGAGAGTGAATAAGTGTGCCTCAGACCTCACAGAGGAGCAAACAAAAAGCAGCTCACTGCAGATGAACAACGAGGCTGCTGTCTCTCAGCAGAAGAAGGATGCAGAAGAACTGGCCCGTCTGACTCAGGGGAACCAACACCTCACCTATGAGAACAAAAGACTGCAAAG